ATTTATTTATTTGAGAGAGAGAGAATGAGAGACAGAGAGCACGAGAGGGAAGAGGGTCAGAGGGAGAAGCAGACTCCCTGCTGAGCAGGGAGCCCGACGCGGGACTCGATCCCGGGACTCCAGGACCATGACCTGAGCCGAAGGCAGTCGCCTAACCAACTGAGCCACCCAGGCGCCCCCTAGTTTTCTTCTTAACCTTAGATGGAAAGGCAAAGAAGAAAATAAATGTTAGGATAATTTATCTAGCAAGTTAAACTAAATAAAAATGAAATATGAAATACAGCATATCATACTAGAAAAAACTCTAGATTTAGAGTTGAGAACTGGGTCCAAATCCTGGTTCCTTTGCTTAGTACTGTCTTATGAGCTTGATCAGGTTATGTAATATATCTGCCTCAAGCTTTCTCTTTGGTGCTCTGGCTACCTATGAGGTTTTTAGTAAAGAATGAGAACTTTGCTAGCTATAGCTTACTATATATATAATTGTCATTATTCTTGTAGATGTTTGCCAGCTACATCAGATGTAGTTTTGCTCATAGCAATTTAGAAGAGTGCTACTAACTTATTTTAGAACTTGGGGAAGTACTAAATCTATTTTTATGTATATGTTTACTTGGCCTTTTTTTTTTAAGAAATACACTAATTCACTAATTTCTTAGCTTATTTTAATTTAAGACACATCTCAAGTATGGAGAACTAATTTGCATTTATTATAGGAATGTTGGGCTTTCTAGGTATTTTTTTTCCAGAGAGATCTCTGTCCTATTATTCGTTTCCATATTTAATGTGGCCTGGAATGATCTGGTCCTCAGTTAAACTGGTAATAGTACTCATGCCATTTATATTTCTTCTCTTTATTTTAGCTAACATGCTCGAATCAAAGTCCTTTGAAGTTGAACTCAAAGATGCTGAACCTGACATTATCGAACAACTTGTGGAATTTGCTTATACTGCTAGGTAAGTTAAGAAGGATCATTTCTGTTGTAGAGAAGTAAGGTTGGGATCTACCATGGCAGAGTATTGTGGTGACAAATTGATGTCCTCCAAATTCTTCAACGTGAAAAACTATAAGGTTGGGGAAGTTTGAGGAATCTACGCCATACTGATGCAAGGACTGAAAAGTTTAATTTTCTGTTTAATTTCAGGGGCTAGTAGGATACATTTTACAATAGCATTACTTAAATAATAAAAAATTGTAGGAAATTAATATTCACCTTAACTTCTTTGCAGAATTTCTGTGAATAGCAACAACGTTCAGTCTTTGTTAGATGCAGCAAACCAGTACCAGATTGAACCTGTGAAGAAAATGTGTGTTGATTTTTTGAAAGAACAAGTTGATGCTTCAAATTGTCTTGGTAAGAAATCAGATTCCTAACTTAAAATAAAAACAAAAACAAACTTTAATGTGTATTTTAATTTTTAAAAGTATGGTTATAAGTATCCTCATTTAATTTTAAAGACATTGTCCACTAGAAAATACACTTAAAATGCATTTTAAGAGACACTTAGGGAGGTGCCTATTAACCTGCGCAGCAAGAAGCCCATTAAATACTGTATTAACATTTTCTAAAATATAAAATAACTTTAATAATGAGTTTTTATGAATCTGGAATGGAGAGTAAGGATTGCATCTGGTGGTGGTGTGATATATGATATCATAAGTATGATTGTTCACCTTTGAAGCACTTAAGATTGCTGAAGTCTGTCTTGAATGAGAAAAAACAGGTTGTATATATTGCCTGAGGTCTTATAGCTAGTATATGGAGGTGCTGAGGTTGAAATTAAAATAATCTTGTTCTTAACTACTAATGTTGCCTCTCCACATTGTCAGATATGCTAGCTATTGTATACTAGAAGACTTAAAAATCCTAGACTATAAATTAAGATACTAATTAAGGGACTGCTGTAGGGGGCGTCTGGGTGGCTCAGTCAGTTAAGCATCCAACTTCATTTCAGCTCAGGTCATGATCTCGGGGTCTTGAGATGGAGCCCATGTTGGGCTCCACACTCAGCACAGAGTCTGCTTGTCCCTCTCCCTCTGTTCCTCTCCACACTCGTGCAATTCTCTTTCTCTCAAATAAATAAATAAATACATTCTTTAAAAAGACCAGTCTCTAATCTCACCTGTACAACAAAGACATTCTGGAATGAGTCTGTTTCGCTGGGCTATAGTTTGGGTCTCCATTCATCAGTAAGATTAATGTTCCTGAGATTTTACTTATTTCTCCTTACATAAATATTCTCACAAAATTTATTGTAAAAAGGGAATTCAGAGAAGTTTTTGGAAGATGATGACATAAGTATTTTTCCCTAACTCCCTACTGCTCTAAATTTCCAACCAGGTGATTAATCTAAAAGAAAACCAGCCAGAGTAGGGAGTGGATATGGTGGGACAAAGCATACTGTGGAACCTGGAGCAAGTTTGTGCTAATCACATCTTAGGCTTTTGGCTTCTGAGGAGACCATTTAGGAGTTTACTTCTGGATGCCTTCTGTCATCATTGTTTTCAAAGCTGAGAGGAAGGATAGCATAGCAGCCTAGAAGGGAGACTGATTCTCTGGCTAACCCTGGGGCAAATATAGTGGCCCAGCCGGTTGAGCCAAGTATACTGTCAGTACCCAAGGGAACTACTTCAGCCTGCTTTCTATTTAGCCCTGAGTGTGGCTCTCCCTGTGAGCTGATCAGAGAACTCTGTCTTTGTTTTTACCACTTGTCAGTTCTCTGCTGCCCAGAAGACCCCAACAAGCTGATTTCCATGAATACTAAAGGAACTCATGGCACCTGATGGAATTGGGCGAGGTCGTACTAGATTAAAGTAGTACTAGATTAAAGTAGTCCCCCCAGTAGTTTGGAGGACAGAATATCAAGCTAAACAGCCAAAATGAATGTTTCCTATAGACAAATTTAATGTAAGAAGTAGAGAACTTAGAAAGGATGCATATGAAGGGATGGGGGGAAGCTGTGATTTTCCATGAAATTCAATTGAATTAAAAATAGAATGGATATTCCTAAAAATCAAACTAAAGAAGATCAAACAGAATACTGCCTCATGATAACAAAACAGAAATGCAAAGAAATGGAAATCATTAGTGAAAACATAAAAGACATGGAAGGAAGATAAAGGGACACTGATATGAAGTAGGCAGTCCAGAAGGAACAGATGGAGGAAAAGCAGTATCAAAGAAGTAATAAAAGAAAACTTATTTGAGCTTAAAAAAACTTTACCTTTTACACTAAGTTATACTAAGTACCAGACCTGATGAAGTAAGATATTCCTCTCCTGGGGCGCCCAGGTGGCTCAGTCATTAAGCATCTGCCTTCGGCTCAGGTCATGATCCCAGGGTCCTGGGATCGAGCCCCACATCAGGCTCCCTGCCCCGCGGGAAGCCTACTTCTCCCTCTCCCACTCCCCCTGCTTGTGCTCCCTATTTCGCTGTGTCTCTCTCTCTCTGTCAAATAAATAAATAAATAAAATCTTAAAAAAAAAAAAAAAAAAGATATTCCTCTCCTAGATATATCCTAGTGATATTTTTTGCCTCCAAAATCAAGAGAGAACTTCTGTTTGGGGTGATAAAAATGCTCTGGCACTAGATAGTGGTGACGGTGGCACAACATGGTGAATTAAATAAATGTCACTAATGGTAAGTTTTATGTTGCATGTGTTTTACCATATATTTTTAAAAAATCAATATAAAAAGAATTTATAAGCTTTTAGAAAGAGTATGGTAGATTAGCCAGAAATTGGCCACAAATTCTTTCCATCCGTATATTCATTAGTCTTTATATATGTGACTTTGTAGCTTTCCATCAAGAGGTAGAGAGTCTTTTTCCCCTGTGTAGTCTAGACTTGGCCATGTAGCATGCTTTAGCCCATGGGACATTGGCAAATGTGACATGAGCAAAGGCTTAAAAAATGATTGTGCATTGGGGCTTGCCCTTCTTTGCTGCTGGGGACTCTTCTGCCATCATGAAAAGATTAGAGACCATTTGGGGCACAGATGAGCTGTACTAGCTGACGTCTGTACCAACCAGCTTACTTATTACTAGATAAGTAAATGAGGCCAATCTAGACCATCCAGTCCCCAGCTGAGCAACCAGCTAACTACAGAGATTAGCTAAACCAGCCCAGTTCAAAAGAACCACCCACTTGACTCACAGAATTGCAAGAAATAATACATTTTTGTTATGTTGAGCCACTAAGTTCTGGGGTTGTTTTTCCTGCATCAATAGATAACTGGGGCACCTGGGTGGCTCAGTCAGTTAAGCGTCTACCTTCGGCTCAGGTCATGATCTCAGGGTCTTGGGATCAAGCCCTGCATTGGGTTCCCTGCTCAGCTGGAAGTCTGCTTCTCCCTCTTTCTCTCCCTCTGTGATCTCTCTCGCTGTCACTCTCTCTCAAATAAATAAATAAAATCTAAAAAAAAAGATAACTAATATAAAAGTTTACTTAGAAAAGAAAGAGAATCAGAGTGATGTTAATTTATCTGCAACAGTAAGTTAGAAGGTAGTAGCATAAGATATGCAAATGGGGGAGGGAGAAAAAAATTACATTTTAAAATATCATTCACTGGAGACATTGCAAAGACACAATGTATAATCCACCTATAGCCTTCTGAGAAAAGTTTTAGGGGAAGTACTACAGCAAAGTAAGAGGTAAAGATCTCAAGATAGGGATGTGCTGGTCAACTTCCTTTGTTACAAGCAAAATAAACTGACTTGCTGGCTTAAACAGAAAAGGAATTTATTGAATACTTTTGAGCTACTCCTAGAACTGCCCACAGGGGCGCCTGGCCGGCTCAGCTGGGGGAGCCTGTGAGTCTTGATCTCAGGGTTGTAAATTCAAGCCCCACGTGTGATGTGGAGTTTACTTAAAAATTAAACACACCTGGGCGCCTGGGTGGCTCAGTCGGTTAAGCGACTGCCTTCGGCTCGGGTCATGATCCTGGAGTCCCGGGATCGAGTCCCGCATTGGGCTCCCTGCTCGGCGGGGAGTCTGCTTCTCCCTCTGATCCTCTTCCCTCTCGTGCTCTCTCTCTCTCATTCTCTCTCTCTCTCAAATAAATAAATAAAATCTTAAAAAAAAAAAAAAAAAAAAAATTAAACACACCAAAGAATTGCCTAGAAATCTCAAAAATAAAGCTTAGGAAAAGTGTAAGGATTTGAACAACACAAAGTTGTTTAGATATCACAGAATCTTTTACCCAATAATCAGAACACAAATAGTTTTCGGGCACCCTTGGAGCGTTTACAAATACTGATCATCAGCCACAGAAAATCTGGAGCACCTAAAAGAGAAGAGACACAGGCTATATCTGCTGATTACAGCGCAATAAAGCTGTGAACTAACCTCAAAAGGAGAGCTATTCTCTCCCGCTCCATTCTGAACGCTTACTTAACTGGATAATTATTTAAAAAGGTATTTTTAAAGAGGTATTAAAAAGGAACTCAGGCTATATAGAAATATATGACAATAAGCACAGAATAAATCAAGACCTTTGGAATATGAAGTATTTAAAGAAAATTTGTAGTCTTAAATATTTCCAAATAAATGCATTTATTTTTATCTTGACTGAGTATTGTACTCAAGGAGGTAGGAAAAAAATTTTTTGACACCTAATGAAAGTAGAAGAAAATACCTTTTAAAGTAAAGTTAATAAAATAGAAAAATAACACTAATAGACTATAGATTGGCCAGAGAAAGAAAAGCTAATATTTCAAAGAATGGTATAAAATAGTTAACAAGTCTAATCAAGAAGGAAAGATGAGCACCTGGGTGGCTCCAGTTGCGCATCCAGCTCTTGGTTTCGCCTCAGGTCATGGTCTCAGGGTCCTGGGATCAAGCCCCCCCCCACCCCCATTAGGCAAATTGAATCCATCAATGAATGTATTTTTAAAAATAATGCTTTACCAAAAAAAAATAATAATACTTTGCCACCCTGGTGTGAGGTGTTGGTAATGGAGGAAGTTGTTCATGTGTGGAACAAGAGTATGTGGGAACTCTACTTCCTATTAAATTTTGCTTTGAACCTAAAACTGCTGTAGAACTTAAAATCGTATCAGGGTTTTTTACAGTAGAATGTTGTAGGCTTATTTTAAAATTTATTTGCAAGAGAAAGTGTTTAACACTAGCCAAGAAAAATGAAAAAGCATTGAAGGGGCTTTTCCTACAAAGTATCAAAATCAGCCATACTTAAGTCAGTATAGTATTGGCATAAGAATAAACAAATCAGTAGAACAGAAAAGGATCCAAATTTATGAAATTCATTCAGCCTCATATTTCTGGAGTCATACTTTGTCTTCAATGTATGGGGTTTTTTGAAGTGATTTTCTATTCATTTGTTTTCTTCTGTATTTAGGTATAAGTGTGCTAGCAGAGTGTCTGGATTGTCCTGAATTGAAAGCAACTGCAGATGACTTCATTCATCAGCATTTTACTGAAGTTTACAAAACTGATGAATTTCTGCAACTTGATGTCAAGCGAGTTACACATCTCCTCAACCAGGACACACTGACTGTGAGAGCAGAGGATCAGGTGACTAAATTGTCTTCTCACGTTTTATCCTTTTTGATTTCTTATGTTTCATGTTTGGATACATGACAAGGAAAGAATCATATTAGGAGAGAATCTGTTCTTTACATTAAACAGAGTATTCCAAAATCTGTTTCATAGGAAAAGTAAATCTTGGGTGCTTATAAGGGCTTTCTATTTGAGAGATAGGCCATTTGGTAGAAATAAAGCTATTGGATACCATGGTAGGAAGAACAATGCTTCCCCTCCAAAGATGTCCACATCCTAATCCCCAGAACCAATGAGTATGTTACCTTACATGGCAAGTGGGACTTTGCAGATGTGGTTAAGTTAAAGATCTTTGAGGTCTTTAACCTCAGGTGGGCCCAATGTAATCACAAGGGTCCTTAAATGTGGAAGAGGGAGGCAAAAGAGTCAGTGTCAGAGTGAAGCAATGTGAGAAAGACTTGGCCAGTGATTGCTGGCTTTGAAGATGGAGAAAGAGGCCACAAGCCAAGGAATGCAGGCAGCTGTTAGATTCTGGAAAAGGCAAGGAAATGCTTTCTCCTCTAGAGCCTTCAGGCAGCCCTGCTGACACATTGATTTTAACCCAGTGTGACCCATTTTGGACTCAACCTCCAGAACTGTCAAATAAACTGTCAGAGGTGTAAGCTGGGTGCAGGCATTTGGGAGCTAGATGGACTAACAGTAACACTTTGATATGCAGACATTCAGTTAATCCCTCTTTTCAGTCCCACACCTTTCTCTGTATTTGAAGCCAGTAAATTTGTGATAATTGGTTACATCAGCAATAGAAAACTAATAGAGATACTGTAAGATCATATGCTTTGAGTTACTTTTGTTCTAAAGATAAAAAATTTGCACTGAGCCATTTTTTGTCTGGTCTTCTTAATGGCCCAAGATCATGAGTTATATTAGTCTGCAAGCTGACAAGTTGGACCTGGAAGACCTGACTAGGTAAAAACAAAACAAAAAAAATCCTCAGTTCTATGACAAAAATTAACTGACTTATATGCATTATGGAAAGGGAATTTAAAAGTAACTTTAGTCTGAAGAAAACCTGGCAAACAGTACCTACAGATCATCACACCTGATGAGCACTACTTATAGGTTAATATTTTGAGTGATAAGTCATGTTGATATCATGCACCCTTAATATAATGTAAGGAGAATGGCATGGCAGCTCTGTGGTCTTCCTCCTAAAAAACTGTAATCCTGGTCTAATCATGAGAAAAACATCAGACAAACCCAAATTGAAGGACATTTTACAAAATACCTGACCAGCACTCAAAACTGTCAAAGTGATCAGAAACAAGGAAAGTCTGGGAAACTGTCATAGTCTAGAAGATCCTAAGGTGACATAATGGGTAAATGTGATGTATCTTTTATGGGATTATGGGACAGAGGAAAAAATTAGACAAACTAAACTTTTGGAAGTATGGACTTTAGTTAATAATTAACTCATTAGTTGTGATAAGAGTATCATGCTAATGTAACATTTTAACAACTGGGTGCAGGGTATATGAGGACTCTGCACTATCTTTGCAACTTTTCTGTAAATCTAATATTTTCCAAAATTAAAAGTTTATTTTTAAAAAAAGAGGCCAGTTCCCATAAAAAATTAATTCATATGGAGATCAGAACTTAGGCCATATTAACATCAACCCCAAATTAACCATTTTAAGTAGCTCAAACATGTATGTGGTAGATGTGTATGTTTATGAAATAATAGGTATGTTTTCAGTGTGTCTAAACTCATGATTTGTGGGGCACCTGGCTGGCTCATGGGACTCTTGATCTCAGGGCTATGAGCTCAAGCCTCACGTTGGGCGTGGAGCCTACTTTATTTATTTATTTTTTTTAAGAAAAGATTTATTTATTTGAGAGAGTACAAGCAGGAAGGGCAGAGGGAGAGAATCTCAAGCAGACTCTGCACAAAACGCAGAGCCAACTCAGGGCTTTATCTCACAACCAAGAGTCATATGCTTAACTGATGGTGCTACTCAGGTGCCCCTGGGCACAGAGCCTACTTAAAAAAAAAGAAACTAATAATTTATAAATCAGATTGTGTTGATAACAGACTTGTTTGGTAAAGATAAATGAGTGCTACAGTACTACTTTGAAAACAATTCTTATATAAATATCCTTTAGTGTATTTTTTTAAATATAGAATTTTTATATCGTAAAGTTTCTGGAAAACAGGTAAGTCTATCAATTCATAATTCAGGAATATCGTATTGAAATAAAATCGTAGATGACCTTCATATCTCTTGGGATGGAAGCCCCCTGAGGAAATTAGCCTGTTTTCCTGGTACCGAGTGAACATGTATTAAAACTATCATTGACCAGTAGATTTCTTTCAGTAGAAATGTACATCATAGCTCCTTCTGAAAAGAAGTTATATTTTGTTTTAAAAAATCATAAATTCAATATCCTCCCTGTGATTACATTATATAGTAGTAATTAGTTCTAAAAAATATTTCTGTACAAGAATCATTAGAGCAGTGGGTAAACTATTGTGAAGTACTGGCAAGTGTTTGGGAATGAAAGACAGTATCTGAATAAAATATTGGGAATAAGTCGTTGTGTCTTCATGAGATCCTCCCCCAGCCTTCAGTATGAGAGTAAATAGGTAATTGGAAATGTTGCTGCCTTCTAAGAACTTTACTATGCTGTTTTCCCCCCTTAGGTTTATGATGCTGCTGTCAGATGGTTGAAATACGATGAACCTAATCGCCAGCCATTTATGGTTGATATCCTTGCTAAAGTCAGGTTTCCTCTTATATCAAAGAATTTCTTAAGTAAAACAGTACAAGCTGAACCACTTATTCAAGACAATCCTGAATGCCTTAAGATGGTGATAAGTAAGTTGCCTTACTGTCCATTTATAACCTGATCCTGTAGCCAGTTTCTCTTGAGCTTAAACCCTTTAGAATGGATCAGACTCCGCACCAGAGAGAAACATTCAAGACTTAGCTCTTTTAGATAATTAATCCACTGGGGTTGTCAGCTGTCTACTTGGAGAAGACTTAGCCCCAGCCCTTATTTTATAGGGACACGTGTGGTAGAAGGTAAAAATTACTTATACCTTGTTTTCTTTTGTGTATGATAGCTTTCTTACACTTCGTTTCTGGTGTTTCCTTTTTTATTTCATTCAACCAAATTGTGTACTGTGATCTTTTTTTTTTTGGCCTGGAACTAATAGCTGCCATATTTTTTCATTTACTTAGTTTTTCTTGATTTGCAGGCTACGTCCCAACCCCTCTGTAAAATGCTCCTTAATAAAATTGTACAATTAGACAATCAGTTGCTTTGCTTTTATTTCCTGGAAACATCCTTCATAGAGCCTTCCTTCTACATATTCCAATATGGACTGTTTGCACTCTAACCTTAAGGCACACTTGTCTTGGACTTCCCTTCTCTGTCATCCTGGGATGTCCTTTCTCTCCTCTCCTAAGTTAGACCCACTCTCTCCTGGAAGCCAGGTCTTCACTTTTCATAATTGTCTCTATTGAATGGAATGTATTCCCTGAAAGGTTCCTGAGAAAGTGTATATGATAGGAAATATTTGGAGACTTGATGAATCTCTTATCTTTATTTTACCATAAAACATTGAAGGATTCTTAAATGGGGTATAGAATTATGTTGAAAATCATTTTCAGTTAGAATTTTGAAGGCATTGCTCCATTATTAACTAGCTTCTGGTGTTATTTTTGAGAAATCTGATGTCAGTCTGATCCTTTTATTTTTTATTCCTCTTTGTAAGCATTTAAAATCTTTTTGTGGGGGAGGGTGTGCTCCTGGGTGGCTCAGTCGGTTCAGTGTCTGACTCTTGGTTTTGGCTCAGGTCATGATCTCAGGTTCTGATCTGAGATCAAGCCTGGCCCCAGGCTCTGCACTCAGCCGGGAGTCCACTTGAAGATCATCTCCCTCTGACCCTACCCCACTTGTGTGTGCATGTGCACGCGCGCGCTCTCTCTCAAATAAATAAATAAAATCTTAAATAAATATTTATTTATTTGAGAGAGAATGAGAGAGAGAGAGCACAAAACGGGGGAGGGTCAGAGGGAGAAGCAGACTCCCTGCTGAGCAGGAAGCTCAATGCGGGACTCCATTGCAGGACTCCAGGATCATGACCTGAGCCTAAGGCAGCCGCTTAACCAACTGAGCCACCCAGGCACCCTCAAATAAATAAATCTTTAAAAAAATAAAATCTTTTTTCATATCCCTGATGTTCAGGAAGTTCACAATAATGTAACTTGGTGTGCCTCTTTCTCTTTTTTTGAAGTTATATTGGGCATTTTCTATCTTTTCAACGGATTTTTTCATTCTTTATTATTGGTATTGTGATTCTTCAGCAGTTGAGTCTCTAATCTTTTCTTGTCTCTCTTGTTATCCATCTTTCCCTCTTTGTTCTGTCTTCTGGGAGATAGTCTTAATTTTTCTATCAACACTTTTATTTCAGCTCTTTTTAATTTCTGTGAGCTTTTATTTATTCTCTAATTTCTTATTTCATGGCTATAATATCTTATTCTGAAGTAGCACTGTAGTGCCTTTCATGCTTTCTTGTCTGTATTGTCTATATTACCTTCGAATTTTGTTTTTCTCTTTTTGTTGTTATCGGAAGCTTTTCTTAAATGTTTGGTGTCATCTGTGAGTCATATTTATAAGACTAAGTTGCTATAAAACCAGTAGATAAGGCTTTATATGTGAATGGGCTTCTCACCTCTTGGGCTGAACTGTAGGGTAATCAGTGTAACACAGTTTTTTAATTGAGGAGCCCTCAAATGTCAGTATCTGTAGATATTTTCTGATAGCTGGGTACAGACATTTGAAACCTGGGTAGGGAATATTTTGATATGGAAACTTTCATTTAATCCTTGTCTTCAGGCTCATATCCTTCTTTGTGTTATTCCTTGAGACTAGAATATCTCCAAAACCAGTCCTCATATATCCTACAGTGGAGAAGGCATGGCATGTTACCTGACTGTGTAGGAGACCTGGCAGTTCAAATGTTGTTGGTTCAGAATTTTAGAGTTCTCGTTTTCATCCCCACCCCACTTTCTGGGATATTTCCTATCTCCAGTTATGACTCTTTCCAGTGTTCTGCAGGATAATTTGGCTTGCTTCTCATTGGCCTCTTCTTCCACATCCATTTTAGGTTAGCATTCTATCTGCTACCTATCTTCATTAACTGAGTTTTAGGGTTACATATCTTCTATTATCAAAGGTAGAGTTTGTGTTTGTTTCTTGCTTCCTTGTTGTCTGGGATGGCTTTTAAGAGAAGAGGGGGAAAAACGGTCTTAAAATGGCACATTCAATCTCAAGTTCTTGTATATTGTTAAATCTGAATCTGGCTCTAGGGTGTAGTTGGAAATATCTTCCTTATTCCAAGATGATTTTTTTTTAATTTTATAAATTCTTCTCATGCACTTAATAGATTTCTTCTTTTTTTTTTTAATTTTAAACCTTATACCCAACTGAAATTTATTTGAATAAATAAGAACCTAGGGGTTTTTTTCCTGTAAAAGTGGCAAGATGGCCCAGTATCACTATTGAATAATTCATCTTTTCCCACTGATTTGAAACATCATAAATTCCCACTTATCTATACATACACAAAAATCAGTGTCTCTTCCATTTCATTCTAGTACCTTTTAATTATTGTTGTACCTCATTTAAATTCTATATCCTGGAGAATTTATAATTTTCTTTTTATAACTTCTACACTTAAACATTTTTTTTTTAGTTATCTTTGTTGTTGCTATTATGAATTATATCTATGTATTAGTCATTACTGATCCCTTTTAAAACTTTTTCAGTTGATTTCTCTTTTTCTAGGGCTTTAATCCTTTATCTGCTAATAATGATAATTTTAGCTTTTCCCCTCTATTATTTTATTACATTGCCTTATTACATTAAATGGCTTTTTCATGACAGTGTTCAATTAACTAATAATGGTGAGTAATGGCAGCCTTGTCTTTTCCTTACTGTAATGGGAATACCTTTAGTCCTAGTGGTGTGGACATGGGTTTTGACTGGTTGGTTGTATGTGTGTGGTACATAGGTGGATATGAGTAGAGTGGGTAGGAGGTGTCTGTAATTAAGAATGTACTTTGCCTAAATCTTAAACTTGAATAAACACCTATAAAAGTTAATTATTATCGCTATAGTGTTGTTATTCTAAAATTTGGTATGCATATTTAAACTGTACAGAAAGGTGTAAAAATAATGCAGATATTGCTGAACTTACGTAGCACCTTGAGAAATCAGTACAGCTGAAGCATCCGGTGTACTCCTCCCCAGTGACAGCTCCCATTCTTCCACCTGAGAGGAAACAGCCCTGAATATGGTGTTTGATTACCATACAGTTCTTTAAACAGTTACCATATATGTAAGCAACATCTAGTATTGTTTTGCATGTTTCTAAACTCTACATAAATGGCACACTGTATGTATTCTTCAACTTGCTTTTTAAAAATACTTTGTAATTTCCATTATGTTTTCTCTTGTGACCAGTAAGTTTAGTAGAAGTAAGATTTTTAAATTCGCCTTTGGTTATAGATTTTTAACTTAACTGCAATGTGGTCCAGGAACATCGTGATCAGAGAGTAGTTCTTCAATATTTATTAAAAGTTGTCAATTTTTGTAAAATTGTCATTTGTGTCTTTTATGACCTAATTTTTTGGTCTAATTTATCACTATAGTAGATTTCTCAGTTTCTTCTGTAATTCTATTAATTTTTCTTTTATATATTTTGAGGACTTATCAATATGAGTTTAGAAATGTTATCTTCAGGGGCTCCTGGGTGGCTCAGTCGTTAGGCGTCTGCCTTTGGCTCAGGTCATGATCCCAGGGTCCTGGGATTGAGCCCCGTGTCAGGCTCCCTGCTCAACGGGGAGCCTGCTTCTCCCTCTCCCACTCCCCCTGCTTGTGTTCCCTCTCTCGCTGTGTCTCTCTCTGTCAAATAAATAAATAAAATCTTTAAAAAAAGAAAAAAAGAAAGAAATGGTTATCTTCCTAGTGAATGGAATCTTTTATCATCATGTAGTGATCTACTTTTTCCCTAATAATGATTGTTGCCTTTCTGTTTTATTAGATATTTATATAACTAACCTGCATTTTTATCTGGTTAGTGTTTTCCTGGCTTATCTTTATCCTTTTGTGTCTTTTCAAACATTTTGTGTCCTTATGTTTTAGTTAGATCTTTTTTAAAACAGCATATAGCTTAATTTTCTTTTTTAAACTCTTTGTGATTATCTTTTAGCAGGTAAATTATATTTCATTTAATTTATTGTAAGTACTACTTATTTGAATTATTTCTGATACCTTATTTTGCACTTTTTGTTCATCTCAATTTTTCTATGCGTCTCTCTTCTCTCCTTTTGGGTTGAGGTTTTTTCCCCTACATTTTTTCCTTCTACTGTTTGAGAACTTTTATACTCTGTGTTATCCTTTCTATTTTAGTATATGTACCTTAGACATTAATATGTCTACCCTCCTCCAGAAGAAAACAAGGATCTTAGGACCCTTTTTTTTTTAAGATTTTATTTAGTTATTTGACAGAGAGACAGCGAGAGAGGGAACCTAAGCAGGGGGAGTGGGAGAGGGAGAAGCAGGCTTCCCGCCGAGCAGGGAGCCTGATGTGGAACTCGATCCCAGAACCCTGGGATCATGACCTGAGCCGAAGACAGACGCTTAACAACTGAGCCACCCAGGCGCCCTCTTAGGACACTTCAATTCAATTTATGTATTTATATGTTTAGTTGTTCTGTACTTTAGTTCTCTTTTTTTAACTTACCAAATGGGACATGATAATTTTTTTATAATTTTTAAAAAATATGGTGAGTGTTTAAATTTATTC